TGTAAAGATTCTGGACTACAAGGTGATTGTATATTACTCAATGAAATATCATGACTAATTGCATATGGATTAATATTGGTAGCAGTACGATTTAATGAACTAGATCGTAAATGATGCATTGTATTTGATAAACAGCTTACACCATTGAACAGTAATGGTGGCTGCGAAGCATATGGATGTGGTAATGGAGGACCATTTTGATTCAATCCAGATGTTGAATTCGATGAGAGTGAGGAGAGTGGAGGATTCGGAAACAGAAGACCTGCTGTTGAACTGTTAAAATTAAAACCGGTCAATGATTTCACAAACGAAGATGCAGCAGCAGAAAGACTTTGTTGAGTGATTGGATCAAATGGAAGTCCAGTATCTCCTGAATCCACTGAAAGTGTTTGATGATGGTTATGATGATGTGTTTGGTGAAAATGGGCATGTTGATTCGACTTCATTTCCTTATTAGATGGAGGTGATTTATCGGAACTGAAATCTCTCATATTATTAGCTGTTGTTACTGTTGATGATACTGATGAGAGAGAGGAAGAGGAAGAGGATGGTGGACAATCTGAATGAGATAAATTATTAAAAGGATACGCTGAATTCGGTCTCATAGGACTTGTAATATGCTGTGGTTTCATATCGGCAGTATAACCTATATAAGAAAATGATAAAGGGAATATAAACTTAGCAAGATAAAAATATTATATTTATTCGGAAAATTACTTACGGTTAAATGGTAGAAATTTTTTGGAAAACATTTTACTCTCAAACTAGACGTCATTACCGAAATCTTTGTCGATAGTGTGTTGAACATGAGCGGGATGAGAATGATGGCACGAATAAAAAATTAGATTTTTGTTAGTGGTAGTAGTAGTAGTAGTCTGGTGTGTGCCACTGATGTCAACAGATGTAAGTCGTAAGTATCAACAATCGAAAGTGGAATGTCTGGCGGTGGATGGTTGAGAAAATCGAAGAGAAGAGGACGAGAACAAAGAGTGGTTGATATGGAAAAGAAAAAACAACAAATTCTGAGACAATTGATGGAAATTTCGCAAATGAAGTATTTACTATATGGTTCTCAGATTCTATAACGTTCTATTAAAATACATTTGATTGTTCCCGCCTGTGGCCTAGTTCACAACAGTAGTAGTAGTAGTAGTAGTAGCAGTAGTAGTAGTAGTAGTAGTAGTAGTAGTAGTAGCAGTAGTAGTAGTAGTAGTAGTAGTAGTAGTAGTATTATTATGTATATAGTAGTAGTAGTAGTAGTAGTAGTAGTAGTAGTAGTAGTAGTAGTAGTAGTAGTAGTAAGATAAGTACTATTTTCTTTTTTTAATTGACTTCTCAATGTTCGTTTTAATAATGAAATCAATTACTATTTAAGTAATTGATTAGTAGTGACTACTGTAAAGCAATAATATAGTTTTCATTATTGATGACCTTTAAAAATTATAGAATGTATAGTGTAAATCATTTTTCAACCAATATTAAATTATCATTATGGGGTTCTGGAGATTGTTGGGTTTAGATTGATATCATAGATGGATCAACGTTAGGTCACCATTGAAAGCCTGGAAGCACTGGACGGCCGTTTTTTCCTAGTATAGGACTAGCGAGAAGTGCACATCGACGATCCTTCACGTGGGACTCGATCCCTGGACCTTCTGTCTGGCGCACGAATGCTTAACGTCTAGACCACTGAGCCGGCATTCAACGGCGTTAATGTTAGAATTCAACCAATCCACGATATTACGCAACCATCTTCCATTGTCTTCACTGAGTAACCATCTCACAACAGACACGGTTGTGATTAGTGGAGTTCAACCGTGTCTGGTGCGATTCATTTACCTACGGTAGTCTGACATTGACCTACTCATGATATCAATCTAAACTCAACAATAAATTATCTCCTAACAACTGTAGTGCAGTTGGATGTTTCAGCATCCAACCTAGACATTTTATGAAATTTGTTTACTAAATAAGATGATTTAACCTGTGAGTTACCGATATATTCGTTGATCAAACAAAAAACAACAACAATTAACCGCTCATTATTTCTCACACTTGGATTTTTAGCCAGTTCATAATATTACACCATTATGATTCCTACTACAGCAACAGATTCATCTTCACAATTAATTTCTTTCCAATAAAAATAATTTGCTAAACTGTCAGAATGAATACAGAATTACAATCAAGTTATCCTATGTAAATATAGATTTCATTATCAGAATATTCAATTCAAAAGAAACTAGATATTTAATAAGAAAAATCTTCTTTTGAACAAATCGCTATCTCACTTAACACATACACGTACAAATACATAGTTCTTTTTTTGTTTCTCACTTCTCGTTTATATTATTCTTAGTACAATGTTTTGATAATAAGAATTCTCTGGACATCAACATACATTCACACATACACACACACACACACTTACAAATACATATATGTAGTTATATATCATTCAATAATTATTAAGACAAGCAAATTCAATTTGGCCAGACAAAGGAAAATGACCTCAATGAAATAAATTAATATTGATATATCATATTTGTAACTCATCGTTACCACAATAATAATAATAATAACGATTATTATTATTATTATTATTATTATTACTGTTACTGTTATGTATATTGTTTTGTTTATTACTTTCATCATAGCCCAAAACAAACTATGACAACAGTGATAAAAATGTATACCAATCAGTGGAAGAAAAAAAATGCTTGACCATAACACTTCAATTCATTGAAGCGTTTAGTTTTTGTGACGAGGTTTCTTCAAGTAAAGCAGGAGAAGGTGGAGAAGAAGAAAAAGAAAAGAAATCAATCTTTTTTTTTGAATAGGTAAAAACATATGAGTAATCTGAATTTATTTATCAGTAATAATTTGTCATTTTCATTGTTGTGGCAATGGGTTATGGTAAGTCATATATTTATATATATATATATATATACAGACATTTTAGAGAAATAAAAATCAATTTAAAGATGATGGCTAAGACGTGTTCGATGTATTAGCGTTAGTGTTGATGTTAGTATTTTTTTAATTAAACAGTTGGATAGTTTCACTTGTGCTCACACTAACTAATCAGTAAGAAGTAACCAATGTCATGTTTTTCGAGCCTTTAGTGCTAATTGAATTCTACCGATCAGGTTTAATAGGGACTACTAGTTCAAGTGACTCGAACTCGACATCCCCAATGTATTGTGTTATGTGGTTGGAGACAATCAACAGAAAGCTTTGAACCTAGGTTTCGAGTTAGTTATCGCTTTTAAGTAAAGCATATCTACAATTTAAAATGAGATTAAAGTTCACGAGTACATTCATATTTGTGTGTCACAATCAGAGATATTATCATACAGAAATTTATACTGTATCTAAGCCCCTGTATGACTAAGGTATTTTATATCAAATAGCAACGGATGTCATGTTGTCCAATCCTAATTTAAGTTCCCTTCCACTTTTTATCCTTTTTTATTTTTTGTTACCAACTAATCATAAACAAGGAATGATTTATTGTTTACAGTAAATTAATATTGAGGATTTTCTTCAGTGGATAATATTTTTTAGAAATGCACTAATGTTTTAGTCATTACTATCATGTAAATCATTAAATTGATGGATGACACATTGTGATTTGTCTGTGATAGAATTGTCTTACATAAATAATTCCTTTTTACCAATATTCACTAATGCCGATTCAAAAACGTATCCTCTTATCGTCAGGGGTAAATTTGAAAGTGAAATAGATCATTGTGTAAGAAATGTATTGCTCGACAATAACGATGTTTCGACGAAAAAACTCTACAGTTGTAAGAATTTATGTTGTAAGCGATTCGAGACAAAGGTTGTTAAAAACTATACTAATTCCTAGTTTTCATGTAGCCTCAAATTTTACCGATAAATTGTCAGGGTTAGTGAAAGAACACTGAATAATATTTCAGTTATAATGTCATTTGTAACGGTAATCCTGATACTAAAGATCGATCACTTAACGTTGATTTGTTTACCGCAGTTCGCTAAGATCATCAGTGAACGGCGCTCATGATATAATTAATTAGATTAAAAACACTGTTGTTGTTATCTACATTCTTCCCATAGTTCAATATGCATGTAGTGCCGAGGACTTAGGAGTATGTTTCAGTTCACTTAATAGGTCAGTGTTGCATATAAGACAGTAATTTTCATAGGAAATTTAATGTCAAGCTTTAACTTCACCATTTTCGTGTGTTACATGTAGAATTTTGTGCTATGCTACATTGATGTGTTTATAGCACATATTTACGGATAACTCTAGATGTTTTCAATGAAATTTTTAATAAAAAATATATTCTACTATGTAAAATTCACTCAATCACTGAACGGAAAAGTTGATTAAAATGCTGGATATAACACATCTGTTGCGAATAACTTCAACTGTTACATGAAGTAATTTTGCCGTAACCTGTCTATTCTATTCTTTCTTTTGTTTACTTCATTAAATTTATTATTCTTAGGTAAGATTTCGGTTATTCCATAAACTGTATTACATAAGAAAGCATACTGTATCATGCGGTTCAGAAAAAAACTTGCGTATATCTTTATACTTTCTTCAAATAAACACCATTTAATGATGGTAAAAGAAGATAAGCATGGCGTTCTCTCTTAAGTTGAAAAATTAAGTATACAAAAAAGGATCCAAAAGGATTCAAATTTTTCAGTACTTGTTTGCACGGAATCTTTTCATAGTTAGGATAATTTATCAGATTACCAGAAATATCCAGTTCGTGAATGTGAGGAAAATCTTAATAAACAAGTTGAAAACGAATTCTAAAGTGAAATTTAAATATTGTTCTAAGTTCAATGCTTCATAAACTTTACAGAATTTAAACGTTATTGAATTTGAAACACAAATCAAATGGTTTTGAAATGTAATAGAAATCTAACCAAGAATATGTTACTGTAGTCAGAGTATAACACTTCAAAACAAATTAGGTTTTTAAATATTCTATTCTAATTTTGAATCATCTAAATAGGCATGAAGTTGGATATCCACCAATGACTACTAGCGGTAATTCCACCGAATCGCTAAGATGATGATGATGATGATGATGATGATGATGATGATGATGATGATGATGTGATGATGATGATGATGATGATGATGATGATGATGATGATGATGATGATGATGATGATGATGATGATGATGATGATGATGATGATGATGATGATGATGATGATGATGATGATGATGATGATGATGAGATGATGATGATGATGATGATGTGATGATGATGATGATGATGATGATGATGATGATGATGATGATGGATGATGATGATGATGATGATGATGATGATGATGATATGATGATGATGATGATGATGATGATGATGATGATGATGATGATGATGATGATGATGATGATGATGATGATGATGATGATGTGATGATGATGATGATGATGATGATGATGATGATGATGATGATGATGATGATGATGATGATGATGATGATGATGGATGATGATGATGATGATGATGATGATGATGATGATGATGATGATGATGATGATGATGATGATGATGATGCTGATGATGATGATGATGATGATGATGATGATGATGATGATGATGATGATGATGATGATGATGATGATGATGATGATGATGATGATGATGACTATTACCCACTAGATTAAGACCTCAAAGTTATTGAAATGGATAAGCTAAAAATCACAAGAGAAGTAGTACTATAGAGTATTGTAATGAAACAAAACGTTTGTCTAGTACTATGTATATTTGAATGATTTAATAGTATCAATTATTTGTTGTGCTTAAACCACTAAATAATAAAAATACAAATTGACCATGTGTTACATTTTTCTTATTTAAATGACTGTCAATGAATAGTTTACTTGTTATAGGAAAAGAAAAGAAAAACACCTCAGGTAATTGGATAAAAATAACACTATATAAGTGCTAAACACATTTTAAATTCGAACCAACTAACAATTTGGCCATCTGTTTATTTCCTTAATTATAACAACAGGACATTTAACTCATTCAATTCTCAATTGTTTGAGTAAATGAATGAATACAGTAAAAAAAGATTAAGAAGAATCATAGAAGAATAAAAACATGGAATAATTTCAATAAAACAACCGGACATACAATTCATTATTTTGCGTGACTTTTATCATAATATTATCAACCAAAAGTTTTAAACATACATGTACCTACACACACACACACACATTAACCAACTAACTAACTAACAAAACAACATCCAGATTTATGATGATAGCTACTATGAAACATAAAAATGATTTGGTCCATTCTCTTGAATGTTCATATTCATTGTTATTAATCATGTTGTTGTAAAACAGAAAAAAAGAAAAAAAGAAAAAAGAAAACTAAAGAAACTTTTTGAAAGTATTTAGTTGTGTATAAAAGAAGTTGGTAAAATAAAAAAAGAAAAAAACGTGAAAAAATAAAACAAACTTAACAGATATGATGGTGATGCTGATGATCAATGACTTAGTTTTTCTATCTTAATAATTCAAAAAAGTTTGTAAAACTGTAAAAATGAGAGAGAAAAAAAAAAAGAAAAAAAGGAAAAAGAAAAATGACATTGCGTGTACCATTGGGAAATGTCTAAAAGATACTCATATATATATATATATACCTTTTAAATGTTACATAATTCTTAAACTTCAAAAGACTATGAAATCACCTTTCTTCAGAAATAATTGAACAACAGCTAAACGGGTATAGACATGCATATATATATATATATATATATATATATATATATAATATATATATATATATATATATATATATATATATATATATATAAGGGGTTGTCTTTATAAATGAATGATCAGATCCCATGTGGGATTTGTAAGAGGTGTTTTTATTACTATAATTATATGACAGTTTTATAAACAAGAATTCTAAAGCAATACATTATTATTTTCCTTCTAAAGATTAATGAATTCATTTTTTAACAGCCTTTAATTATTACAATGTTTGATGTCAGCTATTATGTAATTATTAGAAGAAAATTATTGTGATGGTGGAGAAGATTTGTAGCTCAGGTGGATGGTTTTGGCGGAGTTTTGTTCTCTGAGCTAGATGGTTTGGTCGTGGAGCTTTCATCGTTCTTCTGAACGACATCATCAGCACAAAATTCATATAGAAGTGAAGTGTTCGAATTTCTCCATATGTGTTTCACAGCTTGTTCTGTGCACCTCAATGTTGATTGGTTCTTATTGACCTTAAATTTATCATTGTTTACTTCTTTGTTTTGGTTGTGTCTCCCATTGGTTTGATTTTTGTTCCTATATTTGTGCATGATTTTCCTGATTGGTTGGTAAATTGGATGGATTTCAATATGCTGGTTGATTGCTGATTGACCTGAGTGCCAGGCTTCTAGAAATTCTCTGGTGTTTTTGGAGTTTCCTCTGTCTAAGATTTCTACATTTTCCCAATCGAATGAGTGTTCGCAGTTGTCCACGTGTATTGATATAAGTGAGGAGATATCATGGCGTTTGACTGCTAATTGATGTTCGTGTAAGCGAAGGTGAAGAGGGCGTCCGCTTTGTCCGATGTAGTGTTTTTCGCAGTTGGCACAATTTATTTTGTGGATGATGTTTGATTTGTTTTCCTTTGTTATTCCATCCTTTGGTTTGCATAGGATTGATTGTAGTGATTTTGTCGATTTGTGTGCCATTCAGAAAAACGATGAAAGCTCCACGACCAAACCATCCAGCTCAGAGAATAAAATTCCACCAAGAAAATCATTGTATTTAACAATGTATATTTGAAGTGTTGTCAGTAGGTAGATTGTAGTAGAATATTTATTCATGTATTATTCATCAATGACATACATTGATAGATCTCAATGAAATCTCTACTAACAACGAATTACTACTTTGATGAACTGATCTATTTATACAGTACAGTAATCAACTCTATGTTCATCACAAGATCTATTATTATCTTGAAGATATTCAATTAGCATAAACAAAATTTTAATATACATCAATACCTTTCAACTAACCACGTACTTTTGCTGAATGAATAGCGGAATACTTGATGAATAAAAAATCGAACTAATAGTGACATATTTCAGTAATAAAGATTGAAAAAAATCAGTTGTATAAAATCGGCGGTTAATCAAACGTTATGCTTAACATCATGGTTTTTGTTACTTCCTAATGTCAAATGAATTAAGGTTGTGAAATACTATAATCTAACATTGTGTTCAGAGTTTGGATGCTAATTTCAATCATAGCACAAAAACACCAATTGTCGATATCATATTCTATCGTCATCGTGTTGAGTATTCCTACTTCTTTTTACAAAAAGGACACTGAAAGTATATATTATTACATAAATTGATTAGTGACATAGATTTGGCAGAAAGATTAACAGTTATTGTACATTTATAGCTATATAGTTTCAACAACTGAAACCATAGACTTACAAAGATGAAGCTCGTTTTAGTCAACAAATAGGACAATACTTAAACTCCTGTCCAATGCTCTCTGGTTTTCAATGATTCTGTAGTTGATGTTAGTATCTGATTCAAATTTATTCGTATTTAGATAAACTGATATCTAGACCGAACTATATCTTTAAAAATGATTTGATTAAGTAATAGTCATTAATAAAAGACTAATATTGCACCCTAAATAAACCATCATAGATAGTTGAATTTATCTCAGTAGGTTGCTTACAATTTAATCTCCTAAAATACAAAATAAGTGGATTAAGATGAATGGTAAATATATTTCTTTTAAGTAAATATAAACTACTCATTCGAAACAACAGGATATTTGTAACCAGCTATTAATCACAATAATCTACAAATCAAGTATGCTCTTGTCAGAATACTTTTCATTCATTTCCAACGAAGATCATTATTTTGAATTGAAATTAATATGTAGAATGTGTCCGTTACTGATAGGGGAATAAATAAAGAGTGCTGAATCCGCGAATACTACGTTTAAAAAGAAATCAGTTTTAAAATTCATATATTAGTTTAAAGTGAACTTCGTCCATTGATTTTCAAAGTGCTTTCATTTCCATCGACGTATTCAGTATGAAGTTGGTCTACGTAACTTTCAATAAATCTTTATTGTATTAGTTAGCTTGCTATGATTTTGTGTTCGAGTGACAACTCTTCAGTTGGCACATTTTGTCCACTGTAATAACTGCATATTTGAATTAAAGTTGATATAAACTAACTCTTCTAGGGTCATCACCAATACATCTTTAGATGATTTCTATCACCTACATCACTCTGAGGATTATCGTTGAAGTATTAAGCCTTAGTTATATGGTTTATCCAGTTAGCTTAGGTCCTATTCCATACCAAAAAAATTCCACTAATAGTTTGTAGGTCAGAAATACAGAATTTAAACTCAGTCAAAAACATCAACGCACTAACTCTAATGGTTGGAGGTTAGTTGCGAAATCTAAAATTTCTGTGATCAAACGTATGTAGGGTCTTAGGTGAGTATAACATCACTCCATCAACAAAGCGATATTACGTAATCTTTTATTAGTCTTCTCATTCTACATTACCACTAATTACTGATTATGTCGCTTTATTTAATCTAAATTCTTATTCAAGAATATATTACATTTTACTCATTTCAATATTCGAAAATGCTAACAAACTTCTTTTTTACTTAGAAATCTTAAATCTAAATCCTGTAATTCCAAATGATTTCGGTACAGAAGATATAGAAATTATTAAATTTGTAGTTTTATATCACATATTGACCCATTAATTAGGTCTACTACTCAAAAGTAGCATATATTATATTGATATTTCTTCTCTATATGAAATTCTCCAAGAGTATCTAAACACAACCCCATTAAGCATCGAATCCAGAAACTTTGAGCTTTGTTTTTATTAAATTTAGGACAGGGTTTTGTGAAGATTTCGCTAAGTTAATATTTGATTTAATGAGTCAATTAAAGGTAGACAACCATGCAAAACCTGGGAGAATTGGAAGGCCGTTTCGTTCTATTGTGGGACTCCACAACAGTACAAATTCATTGTCCCGCCCAGCAAGATTCGAACCTAGGACCTATCAGTCTCACGTGAGCGTTTAACCTCAAACTCACTGATCCAGCATCCAACGGTGTCAATGTGTAACCTCAACCAATGCACGAAATTGGGCGACGTATTGATTAACGACATACAGATGAATGAATAATATTCTTTTAAAATAAATCCCTATCAAGTTCTATCTACCATTATAAATTAAAATGGTTGGTCAAAAATGTTAAATAAATTCAGTAGTTGAATCCATGAATCAATTAAAGCTCAGCACTATGCATCCACGATCCTGCCCGCGGGATTCGGACCCAGAACCTATCAGTCTCACGCGTGAATGCTCAAATGTAAATGATAGATCGTGGGTTCGAATCCCGCGGGCAGGATCGTGGATGTGCATTGCTGAGCTTTAAATGACTCATAAATTCAACTATCGAATTACTAAAATCTCCACAAAAACCCCTTCTCATATATTAAGTATATTTTAATATGAAACAAATTTATTTCAATATCTGAAGCATTAAAATTTATTCAAACCTGTACTATATCAAGGAAGAATAAGAGGAAGATTCTGATTTTAGAATATTTTTAAATGATGATTTTTCTTTTTAATTA